GTTTAGCCCTTCGTCTATCGCTTGAACATAACGCGGACTCGATTTCAATCTTCTGGTTTCTGCGGGGGAGTGGCTCATGTTTATTCATGTTTATTCGCCTTCCTTTGAATACACTCAGAAAACATAAATAGGTATATATATTTAAATAGAAATTTAAAATTTTAAATGGAAATTTAAATAGAAATTTTAAATTTTAAATGGAAATTTAAATAGAAATTTTTAATTTTAAATTGTCAATGTTTTAGGTAATGTTTTTAGGTTTTAATATTTTTAGAATAATGAATTTGCATTGATAAATGTTTTAAGAAAATTTTAAATTGTATTTCCAATTTTTGTAGCCTACTTTTGGGTCCCAATTTTAGAGAATTTGAAATCTGAGATTTCTTTTTTAATATTTAAAGTAAGGCTAACTTGTTACCTAATATATTTTGTAACTTAATATTTAAACTTAAAATAAATACATTTAAAGCAAAGTTGTTTTAAAAAGGGAAAAATATGAGTTCAAAATTTAAAAAACCTTTTGAAATAATTTCTCGCAGTCCTTTGAGTAGTCGCTTTAGTGTATTGTTAACAAGGAAAATTAAAACGTAAATGTTTGAAAATTAGATTTTGGCCCCCAAAGTCGCTATTGTTTAGTTGGCTTTGGTCTGGCCTTTGGCTCCTCTCCCTCCTCATCTTTTCTCCCCCTCGCTTACTCCACCTCTTCCTGCTGCTGCTGCTCCTTTATCCTTTATCCTGCTGCCCACTTTCTTTGTGTCTGTGTGTGTGTGCTGGGTGTGTTCAGTGAGGTGTTGCCTAGTTTTCGGCTTGTTAGTTAGTTAAAAGTTTTTGCGTGCAATTAAAATGCTGCGCAAAAAGTTTCCTTCCAACATTGTTCTTAATTTTTTCCTTGGTTTTTGCAGTGTTGCCAAAGCCAAATACAAAATGAACAACTATTGTCTCAGAGCCGTGTGTGTGTGTGTGTGTGTGTGTATCTGCGTAAGTCCTGCAGTCGGCAAAGTGTGTGCAAAGTCCTGTGGCAATTGTCTGATTGTTTTCTTAGCCGCAGCAGCAGTAGCTTCGTAAGGAGCAGCATTCAATGGCAAAGAAGAAAGTTCGTTATCAGTGACATTTTGGCGTATAAATAGCAAACAGCTCGCAGTCGAAAACCCTTTCGAGTCCTTGGCACAGCGCTAACCCGCTTCGTCCTGGCCAGTTTTACACAAAGAGAAAATGTGGCAAACAAGTTTCTAATTTTTTAAAATCTTAATCTGCCTTAGGCTTTGCTAGAATAGAATATCGATAAAGGAAGTTCTATATTATGCCGAAAGTACCTTAAGATTTAATAATACAGAATTCTATATATTGAAAAATGTATCATTAATCGATAATATCGAAAAAATATCCAATAAATTGTCTCGATTTTATTTAAATATTCTTTATTTATCAGAATATATATAATTATATGTATAGAATATCGATTTTCCTCAATTTATCGATTATAATATATCAAACAAATTATTGATTTATAGCACATGTATAGTAATGTTCAAAAGTATCTTTAGATTTGATATAACGGAATTTTGAATAATATTCAAGGGAAGTTGAAAAATGTAGAATTTAAGCGATATTATCGAAAAAGTGGCCGATAAATTGTATCGATTGTATTAAAATATTTTTTATTTATCAGAATATATATGGTTATATGCATAAAATATCGATTTTCCTCAATTTATCGGTTATAATATATCAAACAAAATATCGATAAAATATTGATATATCGATTTCACCGTGCTTTTGGGAAATTACTTCTTTAAAATATATTCTTTCCCTTTAACCATTTATTTTATCTTAATTTTCACTTAATTTCCCTTCGACTTCCTTCAATTTTTATTGTATTTTTTTTTGCAGTGTAGTATTTAGTTCTCGATTCGCAGTTAGCAGTTAGCAGTTCCCAGTTGCCGTGGCGAACGTGCTGGCAATGACAATTGAAATGAATATTCTAAGCAGCTGGGCCACAAAGCTACTCAAAGACCCGGTAGATTTGGTCCACCGAATCCTGCAGCCTGAAATTCTGAAATCCTTCAGTCTCTATTTATATATATATATATATATCTATTTATTTGCCTTTCATCGATGTCTGAACAATTAGGGAATGAATGAAATGCGGCAAGAGAGGATATAAAATATATATACGAAAATTGTCAGAGCCATAAATATATTGCCCAAAAAAGACGTTGATAAATCTCTGATGATAGGCTAGGCTTTTGCTCCTTAATTTAAATCAATTCTTGAAGCTTTTTCGCTTTAAATTTGCTCGACGACTGTCATTTTCAGTTTGCTATCCGCGAAATTAAATCAATTTCTGACCGCAGAAACCGAAAAGCTGCAAAAATATATGATTCATGTGTGTGTGTGTTGAGGCCAAAAAGAACCGCAGAATATGCATTTTTATCCAGAAAAATATATATATAAAAGAACTGACAAAACTAATTGCCTTGGCAATAAAAAAAAGAGGAAAAATAAAGCGAAATTGAAAATAAAAATCTTAACAAAATAAGCTAAAAGCTGAAGAGTTGCCGAGTCGCATTAAATCATTTCCGCACTGCGAAGCAGGCAGATTCTTCTTCGTTTTTATGATGTTTCTCTATATATTTTTTGTTGTTGTATTTTCCTCTTATATTTGTTGTATTTTTTTTTCTTATAATTTTTTGTTGCACTCTTCTTTTTTGGCCTGTTCTTGCGGCAAGTTGCAAGTTGCAGGCAGTTGCAGTTTACCACTATTTATGGGCTGCTGCCGGTGGCGAAAAAGATGAAAAGTGGCAGCAGTGTCTCCCTGGTTTTTTTTTTTTTTTTTTTTGAGAAAAATGTTGAAGAGTATTCTGGCATCCTGCTTATATATATATATCGTATATATATACCCGCTTCCCGCTCCCCTCTCCCGATTAGCGCATTCATGTGTGTGCATGTGTAACATATTCAGGCAATTACTGCCATTCAGCGCATTTCAATTCAACTTCAAAACTGTGCCACCCTCTCAGTCCTCCGCCTTGCTGGCTTTTCCGCCACAAAAGTAGCAGCAAAAAAAAAAAAAAAAAAAACAGAACAAAAAAAAAAAGCTTTTAAACTTCACTCAAGATTTTTGCCGTTCACGGCTCTCGGGCTCGCAAATTTTTTGACTGTTGCTGCTGCTCACTTAGTTTTTCATTTTTTTTGCCAGCAGTCTGACAGGATTTTTGTTGGCACCCTGGTTAAGGATATGCGATTTTTAAATATTAAGTTAAAAAAAAATTAAAATTTTTAAAGATAAAACATTAAGGAAAGTTTCTAATTTCAAGGGAATAACTTATTAAATATTTTTTATGTCAATTTACAGAGTAAAATAATTAAATATATTTAATGTCTTAACATTAAAAATATAAATATAAAAAATAATAAATAAAATATATATATTTTTTGTTTTAATTTTATTTTGTATATAAGTAAAGAATGTTGCCAATAAAATTTTCTGAAATATTTATCTAAAAAAAAAAAATAATAAATATATTTTTTATATACAAATTTTATTAAAATATTTCAGAAAATTTTATTAAAATATTTCAGAAAATTGATGAATTTGAAGAAGATTTCAACCTTTTCTAAACATTAAATAAAATAAGTAAAAATTTAGAAAAATACAAAATGTAATAAAATAATTATTGATTTCAACACTTTAGTAATTTAATTAAAGTTCCATTTTAAATTGAAATAAATTGTTGAAAATTTTCCCCCTATTTTCTACCACCGTTCCTTGGCATTCTCATAATTTTTGGGCTTGCATGCTGACTGCCTGACGCATCTTCTTCTAGGATGCTTACACTATATATCCTGCTGATGCTGTTGCTACTGCTACTGCTGTCTTTATCTACGACTGCCACTTTATATATGTGATGTGGGCTTACACCCGAGGGTAAATAAATAGTTACAGTTTACAGCTTAAGTTGAGTTTGAAGGGATTTCCAATTAAATTTTCAAGAGATTTAATAATAAATTTTAATAATAATAAATTAAAAATTAAGTAAATTTTGGGTCAGTTTTTTGCCAGTTTCTTTTTGAAGCCTTAATATATATTCTTAAAAAAATAGTTTACTTATTAACATTAATTTAATTCATTTAATAAGATTAATTAATAATTTAATAACATTTAAATATAAATAAGAGAATAATTTGTAAAAAAGGCAAAATATCATGGATTTTATGTAAGAATTATTTGCTTATTTTTCTTATTTCTTTGGGAGAATTATAATTAATAATTTAAATATTTAAATAACTAATTTTACTTCTCAAAATTAAATAATATATATATTTATTTCGAATTCTTAACTAATAGCTATTATTCTGGTTACAGCTGTTTTGTCCTGCCGCTGGCTCTTTATCATTTTCTTTCTCACTTGATTTTGCTGCTGCTGCTGTTGTTGGGCTCTTACTTTGTTGTCGTTTTTACAAGTCTGTCAAAATGTAGTTCATATATCCGCACACACACATACACTTATATTATATATGTACATATATACATATATATATATATATTCGGCGAAAATTCATTTTGCAGTTGACATAACTTTGTCAGCCCCAATTTATCAACAACAATTAGTAGAGCAGAGCGGACCCCACTGACTTGACTTGAGTTGACTTGACGAACGGGTGTGTGTATCCTGGGTGTGTGTTATGTTGTGTTGTGCCATGTGTATATGTGTGTGTGTGTGTGTGTGGCATGGCAAGTATGTGACAAGTATTTTGAACAAAAACTTTGTCTGCCAAACAGACTCCACTTGGCTTTTCTTCGGCCCCGAGAATGAGACCGGAGCGAACTTTGCGTAGACGTAAGCGTAAGCGTAATATTATAATGCCAAAATAATGTGCATTTGGAAAATTGCTGTCACAGCAGCAGCAGCAACAGCAACAGCAACAGCAACAGCAGCAACACATCAATTGTCAAGTTGTCAGCTCGGGGAGCCGGCTTATTAAACTACAAAACTCACCTGTACTCGTGCGACATGAAGAAAGTTCCTCGAATCAGGCAACCATTTGGATTCTTTCGCTTGCCATTGAAAATCTTTTGGTAATGATCGTAGTTATTCAAGTTGACAGCCCCATCGAAGGTCAGCATAATGATTTGGGGAACCTGCAAAACGAAAAAAAATGTAATTGATTAATCTAAAAAGATTATAACAAGTTGGATTTTCTTTAGCATAGTTGTTTTTTTCATTTCTCAGCTTTAATTTTTGACACGAGTTGATTATGGGTCCTGCCAACCTAAGAAAATATGTCAGAAAATAGCCATATACTGATACTATATTAATATTTGATGATAAAGCCTATTAATACATTCATAAATATGTACGATATATGTGCAATAAATCGATATTCTGGACGATACATATCGGACTGTGCCAGAAAAATGCTTAAACTTGGTTTAAGCCATCATAATTTTCAAGAAATTTACAAATGTTTACTGAATATTGTTTTAAAATTTAAACTATGAAAATTAATTAAATAATACAAAAATTTAAAAAAACCCAAAAAATATTAAAATTAGAATAATCGAAAAAATATTAAATTTTTTTAGGAAAATATAAATTTTATAATAATCAGGAAAAATCAGTATTTTTAATCGATATTTTTTCGATAATTTTAATTTATTAATTTAATTTAATTTTTTTAATTATAAAAAAAATATTGAATTGAATCCAGAAAAGTTTTCTTAAAATCGATATTTTTACCTAAAATTCGATATTTTCGATAATTCTAATTTTAATAAATGAAACTTTAAGTCAATTTTGGTATGATTTTGAGTGTCTTATTCTTATAAATTTTTATCGATATATACACCCCGATATAATATTCTCGATATACATCAATGCTGAACAAGTATATATACTCCCTTTGAGCTCAAAACAGCCTTTTTGCATGCACTAAATTATAATATGAAAGCTAGTAACTGTGATAAAAATAAATACAAGTATTAGGCACTTGCTATGACACGAGGTGTAAGAGGTGTGCAAGGTCTGCGTGTGTTGGTGTGTGTGTTTGTGATGGGTGTTTTTGTGCCCAATTAGAGGATTGCCGACCTCAAAATCAGCCGGGCATACCGATGGCATTGGCAGCCGCAAAAGCAGCGCACGCTGACGGCATTTCCTAATTGAAGGTTTTGCATTTTGCGTTTGTTTTTCCTGTTTGCATTGCGCCTGGCTGCATTGTGGGGGGGGAAAAGTCCTCACCTCACACGCCACCCCTCACCCCCCAGTCAGGCCACCACTCTCGGCTTTGGGAAAACTTGCAACTTGAGCATTAAACATAATTAGTGGGCATGTGGGGAGCAAACTAGCAGCGGCAACCAATTCACGAAAACCAAATTAATTTCAAATAAGCCCCCCCCACTATCAATAACACCCGAAAAGCAGCAGCAGCAGCAGCATTGCGAATTCCATTACAAAATTGCCACCCAAAAATATGGGAATCAACCGAAAAAGCAAAGCAAACCCCAAACCCCAAACCCAACCAAACCCAAGGCAAAACCCCTGCCAGTTTCGAGCTGCAACACTTTAAGTGCAATTTCTATAATCAAAGACCGCACGGAACACCAAGCCAGCGAAAAAGTAATAATAATGCCAAAGAAATGACGAGGCGAAATACAAAAACAGCGCGAAAATTGTTGTGGAAATAAAGGAGAACTTGGGGATGCTCTGATGCTAGGGAAATATTTATAATAATAAATTATAGAATAAATATATAATGAAATCAGGCAATTTATTTAATTTTTTAAATGATTTTAAAATATATTTTGGCTTAAAAATTATATCTCGATAATGATTTACTGTTATTAAACTTAAAAAAATTATTAAAACATATAGAATTAGGTAAAAATTTATATAAAAAGGTTAAGATTTTTTTAGGAACTATGGTAGAATTTTAATTAATTTTTATTTGTATACTTAATATATATTTTACAAAAAATTATGTATCAGTGTGACCAGATCTTACATTAAAAAAAGAAAGTTATAGTCGAAGCTATACAATTTATAAAAAATTCATATACAAAAGTTAAGATTCTTTTAGTAACTATAACTGAATTATTATTATTATTATTATTTAATATATATTTTATAAATTATCAATAGTGTGACCATATCTTACACCTAACTCAAAAATTTAAGTTAAAAATGTTAAACTTTGCCACAAAATCAGACGACTTTATCCGTTGTAAAAATTTTTGGGATTAAGGTATATTGAATTTTGGCCCTAAGAACCCTTAGAACCTTGAGGATATATAAAAAAGAAATAATAAAAACGAAGGAAGGATTGGGAAAAATCCGGAAATGCATTCTGCAAAAGATCTCGTCATAAAGGCGAACGGCACGACGGCCAGAAACGCACTTAACGCTTTCATTGTAAGGACACATAAAAAGGATTATTGTACAAATTCAATATTAATGTGGTCGCTGGATCGGCGATGACGATTGCAAATTGCAAATGCAACGAGGATAGTGATAGTGAGGATAAGGATGAGGATGGGGATGGAGATGCTGGGCACCTAACCGAATTGAGCTGGCAAAATTATGCAGGGGCGTGAATCGAATCTCTTGGCGGTCAGTTTAAGTGCGGAGCTTAGGATGACAAGGCGGCATTGAATCGAAATTGAAATTTGCGCTTGGATTCGACAGGAGTTTTCAGGCTTTTCATATTCTTTTTTTTTTATTATTTTCCTGCACTTTTCCGGACTTTATTGAACGGCATATTTCAAAAGGCGCGTTTCCGCAAAAATGGGTGCAAATCAACTGCAAGAGAGAAAAAAAAAGAGTGTAAAAAGAACTTTGGGCCCCTTTCTCCTCCGCTGAATTATGAAGTAAAAATATTATTGCAAATATATAATGAATGTGCGGGAGAAGAAGATGCTGGGGGAAAATGGAGCTAAGGCAAATCATAAATTTCTAGCTTGGACCAAGTTTCTTCTCAAAAGGGAGATGAAAATAATGGGGAATTGGAAAAAGTGTAAGGCATTGTGAACTTTATGCTTTTGCCATATTGCTGAATCGTCGATTACCTATCGCACTTCAATGGCAAATTGCTTGTCAAGAAAAAGAGGTCAAGAAAAGGCTATCCTAAAAAAAAAAAATAAAAATAAAATAATAAAAAAAATATTAGTAGTAAATATGAATATAAAATGGATTATTTAATTAAACTTTGGTTACAGGAAATATAGTGCTGCCAACTTGAGTATATTGATCGGAAAAGCCGATAAATAAATCGATATGTTAAAGCATACATATCGAACATAAATATCTATTTGTTTCTGTATCTGTAACTGTATTCTATTTGATATATTTTGGACGGAGCCAAAGGGAACCCTAAATTAAAAATATTATATATTAAAAAAAAAAAAAATTATAATAATAAAATGAATAAAACAGTAAAATAAATGTTATTTTTTTTTTCATTAAAATCGATACTTTTTAGCAAAAAAATTTTTTTAATAATAATAAAATAAGTAAAAAACTCAAATAAATGTACTATTTTTATTTTATTAATATCGATATTTTTCGATAGCTTTAATTTCGATAAATTAAAATTTAAGTAGATTTCGATATGATATTTGAAGCATTATTCCTATTGCTATATATTTTTATAGGGGGATATATATATATATTAATACATATTCATCAAGAAAATTATATAGGATATATATTGATAAAAAATTCTATCAAAACTCATATTTCTTATCGATATATATCCCTCAAAATAATTTCCTCCCCCCATAAACCTCCCTATATTCCCCCTTTTAAATGCCTGATTAAAGCAGCCACACGAGTTTAATAGAATATATCCTAAAATTTAGAAAGGACAAATTTATACAGAGACACACACATACACATGAGGATGGCAAATAGAGGATGAAAAGTGCTAGAATATTTCCCCGGCGCCAGCGACCCTTTTGGATGGCCTCCCCCCTTTGCTTTTGCTGCTGCTGCTGCTTCTGTGTGCGTTGATAATTTTTGCCTAATGCGACTCAAGTTTGCACTTTAGTCTTTCAGCAAATATGGCAGCCCCTGAGGCAAGGATGCAGGCGGGAAAACTGGGAGGGGGGAGGGAGGAGGAGTAGGAGGCTGAGACTGAGACTGAAGCGGAAGGAGGCCACAAGTTTCCTTCGTCGCTCTGCTCTGCTCTGGCAAATTTGCATAGCTCAGTTGCTCAATCGCAGCGACAATTGAGCGGCTCATTGTTTGCACCACCACCACCCCCCATGTTTGGCCCCAGCCATTTTCCATTTCCCATCACAAATTTTTCCCCTGCCGCAGTTTTTCCCCATTTTCCCCATTTGCTGCCACTCGCCACTCACCACTTATCCCAGCCAAAGTTTTTGTTGACACTGTGTGCCATCTTTTCATTTCATTTTCGCAAATCAAACTCGATTCGCATTCAAATTGAGCAAAAGCGGTGTTTTTTTATTTGTTTGCAACGCATCTTTTCTCATTTTCCTATTTTCCAAATATATATATCTATTTTTTTTTGCTTTGATTTATGGCCAAGAAAAATTTAAAGAGTTTTGGGCAATAATAATTATGGTTATAAGTGAGTTAAAAAATTGTTTATTAAATAGATTTCAAGGGTGGAGTAAAATCATTTATTAAATTTATTCAAATTAAATGCCTTTAAAAAGTAATTTTGTTTTTACTGGTTAATAAACATTAAATTTTGTGAATTAAAATTTATTATTAATTGCTGAGTTATGAAAGATTTTAATAATTCAATATTTTTATTGTATTAAATCAAAATTTGAATCAAAAATTAATTTTGTTTAGGGTGTTTATTGTTTATTTCTTTATTTTTTAGTTTCTTTATATCTATGTATATATTTGTTATTTATTTATTTTAATTTTTATTGTATTTATTTATTTTAATTTTAATTTTTATTTATTTATTTTAATTTTAATTTTATTTATTTATTTTATTTCTTAATTTTATTTCTTTATTTTATTTATTTATTTTTTTCCCTAATTTTATTTCTTAATTTTATTTATTTATTTTATTTCTTAATTGTATTTATTTATTTTATATATATTTTTAAGCTTTTTTTATTTATTTTAAAATTTCAAAGAAATCAAAACCCAGAACCGACCCCATACTAACTCCCGATAAGATAAGGCAAATAAACTTACTCAATTAGTTGGAACAAAAATTCCCAAGATATTTTTTTAATATACTGTGTCACCGTCCAATTAATGAGGCACTTGTAGATACCACAACTATCCAGTATAGAGTTTCGTAATAAAAAAGCATGACTGAATTGCCCAACGAAATCAGTTTGAGCCAAATTGCTGTTGCAATAACACATTGTCTCTTCGACGACATCAAAAAATTTCGTTAAAAAAACATCCCAGAAATGAGATACTTTACACTTCTGGCGGCAGCCCTTGTGGTCTTGGCCTGTGCCTTGCCCAGAACCTATGCTGGCAATGATTACCTCTGGGGCGAGATCGGGGCCAATGACTACAAGTTGGAAAAAACAACGGTTTCGAAGGCCTTTTTCGTGGGTCTGGTGCAGACCAAGAAGTACACCTTCAAGCAGTCGGTAAATAAACCATAAAAATTAGCTAAAAGAAAACATAAATTAATACAAATCTAATGCAAAAATGCGTTCTTAAGGACAATTTAAATGCCTTGACCATAACGGCCATCAAAGTCACGGACAAAAAGAAGCGCAATGGTGCCACGGCGGAGCTAATCAGCGGCGGTCCGGGCTCAAAGGGAGCCACTATTAAGTTTACATCGGTGCGTGGCGGTGGCATCAAAGATGTTGTCGAGATATGGGGCCGCTAATCAAGTGAAAAACATATACTTTCACTTTCCCTTTCCCCCTAAAATCGAAAAAGATAAAAAAAAACAAAGAAAAGGTCTAGCTGGAAGTGTATACATACATTATTTTTTTTCCAACAAAAATGTAAAACTTGGCTGGCCAAGAAAAATAAACACAGGCTTTAAATGAAGTTTTTTTTTTTTTTTTTTTTTAAAATATATTTTTAGAAAACTTTTCAGGAGAAATATAGAGAAAAAATTATTTTTTTAATATTTTTTAATAGAGTTTATAAAAAGAATATTTTCCTGGGAGTGTTATTTAAAAAAAAAATATTAGCTTTTTAATTTATTAGGAAAAGTACTACAAAAGTATATGTTTTTAAAAAAATATATAAGAAAACTCCCAGAAAATTATTCTTTTTAGAAACTCGATTGAAAAAATATTTGTATATATTTAGATACCCAAAAAGGGCTAGCACAATTCTGAAAAAAAATATTTTTTAACATTTTCTGGGCTTAAAGAAAAAAAATTAGAATTGTTTTTAAATAAAAATATTAAAAAAAATGCAAATAATATTTTTGTAAATTTTCTGAGACTAAAATAAATAAAATATTTTTAAAATTAAAAAAAAAAAATAATTAAATAAACAAAATAATTAAAAAAAAAAATAATTAAAAAAAAAATAATAATAATTTAAAAAAATATAAATTAAAATAATAGAAAATATAGAAAGAAAAACTTCAGAAAAACATTATAGGATATTTTCTTGCCCTAAAAAAATAGAAAGCCAGCTTGAAGAATATTTAAAAATATTTGTGTACAAAAAAATTAAAAACGAAACCAGCAAATAATATTTAAATTAAAAGATAGAATGCTTAAAAAATATTTTAAAATATTTCTAAACCAAAAAAATAGGAGCCAAACTGCAAGGAAAATATGCTTGTACATTTTCTGGGTCTCAAATAGATAGAAAATCTGCCGGGTGTTTAATTAAAAATGTTTCTATACACAAATATTACAAAAAAGAAAATTGCAAATAATATATTTTAGAAGAAAAACTTCAAGAAAACATTCTTGAACATTTTGGTTTAAATATTCTTGAATATTTGCCCGGAAACCCTGCCATAAGAGTATTTAAACCTCGGCTCCAAGTAGTCTTTTGTAATTCTGTAATATATGCTGTGACATTTAGGGCTTCTTCGTGGGCAAGATACAAGAGACACTATAAGAATATATGCGGCAGCTTGTCTGAGATACATCAAGATGCTTGTGCAGGTGTTATTATCGAAGTAGGTCAGCCCAAAAAACAGCTTGGAGGTTGCAACCAAATACCCAATACTCGATATGCAACTTCTCCGGGCGTTCCCTATAAAAACGAAAGCTGATTTTGTCATAACCAACAGTCAAACTTCATCGATCAACCTTAGAAGATGTATCTGCCCTGTGTGTTTCTCCTGATCCTGGCCACCGTGGCCACCAATATCTACCAGATCGAGGCTCTGGGCGGCAGCCAGGATGGCAATAACTATACGTGGGGCACCAAGGCCACCACCGATACACTGATTGCCAAGGAAGTGGTCTCCGCCAACAAGCTGTTGCTGCAGACCAACACCCAGACCTATACGCTCACCCAGGCGGGCACGGCCAAGACTATATCGTATATAGCCATAACGGATCTGAAGCGTAAGAGGGGAGCCACAGCATCTATAACATCTGGTGGTGTTGGCGACACAACGGTCACCATTAAGTTTACATCGGCCCGAGGAGCTCCCATTAAGTCGCAGGTGGAAATATGGGGTGCCTAAGGGTTTGCTCCATATATCCATATATTTATTATTTTATTTATTTAGATGCACCTCTAAGGAGAGCCTTTTTTTTTTTTGTCTTTCGCACATTAAAACATTTTTTTTTTTTAAATATGATAAATAAATAAAATAAGATTTTAAAATGGATTTTTTTTTTTACGAAAAGAGGAGGGAAAATATTTTATTTAATTAAATATAAAGGAAAAAAGTTTGAAAATGTTTCTGAAAAATAAGAAAAGCTATAGCTATAGCTTTGATTTTTCAGAATTTGTGGAAATGTTTCACAAAAACATTGTTTTTTAAATAAAGTAAACTAAAAAAAGATTTAAAGATATTATTAATTTTTTTTATATTATAAATAAATAAATAAAATTTAAATATGAATTATTTTCTTTATATTATATTTTTGTAAAAAAATAAAAAAATATATATATATAATTTTCTTAACAAAAGAATTACCGAAAATTAAATTAAATTTCTAAATGAATTAATTAAATTAAATATTAAATAAAAAAGAAAAAAAGGTTACAAAAATTCGATGAAAAAAATATAAAATCAAGGGTATCTAAGGGGTATATAAATCCCTAGAGAAGCTGACAAGCCACAGGCACACGCGGCGTATGCGTGTTTTGTGATGCCAAATCAAAAGAACTTTTTGGCATGCACAAATTAACCGCTTGTTTGCGGTTAATTGAGATGATATTAATTATAATTATGCCCGCGTCTCGCACAGACACACACACACACACACAGAGAAAAACAGGATACAGACACACGCACATTCTACACCCCCACCCCCCCATAGATAAAGATTCAGTTAGCAAATGGAATTATTTTTGGGGAACGGGGGAGCTCGCATTCGCTGCGAACACATGTAAGCGCTAATAACACTTAAATAAGCACCGCCAAAGCCCACACATATACACAACACACACACACATACACCAGCAGTGTTGGCATTTTGAAAAGTTTTTTGTCGCTAGTTTATAGCTAAAAGAAATATTAAATTAGTTTTTCATTAAAGATTAATTAAGCTTATATATAATAAATAGGGATATATCGAAATTAAATCGGTTTTTGATGCCAAAACTGTTATATAAAACGAAATTTTAATTATTATTTTAATTATTCATATTCTCTTAGTATTATAAATGTTTTTAATACGTTTTATAGATAGTTTTTAAGGATATTACTTTTTAAAATTAATGTAGCCCAGAAAGCATTAAATATCGATATATTGATACTAAATCGATATAAAAATCGATATTGTAGTATGGCAATAAGTCCATGTTCTCATTGATATATGTATATATTTAATTATAATTACTTTTAAAAATGTTTTAACTATAATCATTAAAACAACAAAGAAAATATTTCCAATTTGTGTTATTTATTTCCGAAAATATCGATATATCGATATCTTGAAGATATATAAATAAATAATATAAGTAATATTTTTTTAATATTTAAAATTTTAATAAATTAAACTGAAATATTTTAGAAAGGGATGACAATATTTTTAACTATATCAGACATTTTTCCTCGATTCTATATATATATATTTTTTTGTTACTTAATTTTAATTTGAAATTAATATTTCGTAACTGAAATCATTTCAAAATTTAGGCAGCAATGCCACACATACTTGTACAAATATACATACTCATAACACACACAAGGCAGACAAACACACACACACACACACATAAACATAGAGGAAATGGCGAGGACAAACATACATTTCAATTTCGAAATTAAGTGGCTCACTTGTCTTGTTTGTATTGGAATTCGTGTGTATTTGGCAGTGTGTGTGTATGTGTAAGGGTGTGCGTGTTTATGGCTGTGCCTGTGCCTCTGTGTGTGTGTTGATGCATCTGCTTGATTGTGTGTAGATTTGTTTGTTTGTTTGTCTCTGCGATTTGCGTATATTCTATGTATGTCACACACGTTTTGCATTTAACTTGTGTTTGTTTTGTGCTCTTTTTTTTCCTTTTTTTTTTGGCTAAGTATGAGCCCAAAAAGGATATAGATGGGGAATGAAATAGGTTAATATATGGGAATAAAAAAATAATAGATTTTATAAAGAAAAAAATTAAATAAAATTGTAAAAAAAAAAAACTACAGATAAAGCATAAGAAAAGCCTAAAGAAAAACTAAGTAAAGTATTTTTTATTTATTTGTTTTTAAATTAAGCCCTTTACTTTAATATTAGTTTTGTATTTTTTATATATTTTTATATTTAAATTTATATTTTTATATATATTTTTTACATTTAGATTTATATTGAAATTTTTATATTGATATTTTTATATTTATTTTAATATTTATTTTAATATATTTATATATTTCTAGATAAAGATTAAGCAAAAATAATATTTTTTAAGACCTACAAGATCTTTTTTAATTTTTTTAAATAAAAAAAGCTTTTATAAACCTTGAAAATTTATTTAAAAGGGTCTTGTTAGTGTTTGGTTTAGTTAGGATTTATTTTTATTATTTTTTTTTAGTTTAGGATTTATTTTTATAATTATTTTTTTAGTTTAGGATTTATTTTTAATATTTATTTTTAGTTTAAGATGTATTTTTATTTTATTTTTATTTTTTTTTTAGTTTAGAATTTATTTCTATTATTTTTTTCTTCTTGTATTTTTTTGTTTACAGTGTGTGTCCTTTTATTATTATTATTTTTCTTATTATTATTATAATTATGCAAGCGTAACCACAACTTATGTACATGACCAACTGTCTGTCAATTTGCCGGAGGAAAAATCGGGTCACGAGTCAAAGGCCAAGCCAGGAGGGGCAGGAGGGGTATATATATATATATATGCCCAATATTAATATACATATATTAACCAACTTTTCCATTTTAAAGTGGAAAGTGGAAAGTGGCCAAGGAAAATATTTAAAAAATCGTTTTAACGCATTCACACAATGGAAATAATAAATGATATGTAAATATAAATAAAATATATAAATTAATTATAATTAAATATAAAAAAAACTCAAAAAAATACTTTAAAGCCTTGGGGAAAATAATAAAATATTTGCTAAATTTATAGAAAATTTATTTAAGAATAAAATTATTAATTAAAGTTAGAAAATAAATCTTTGAAAATGTACAGTAGAAAGCTCTCTTGATAAAAAGGCCACAGAAGTCCTTAGAGTTTAGGTGTTTTTTTTTTCTATCCATTTTCGTGAAAGCAGTTTTCCGGGGTTTTCTTCCCCCCCTTGACTGTACTGTATTGGCCATGGCTATTTACACCATGCAGCGCATAAGTCTTGGCCAAATAAACAAAGCGTAGTTATTAAACAGGATATTCGAATCAACAGGAACACCAGCCGCAGTAGCAGCAGCAGCAACAGTAGCAACAGTAGCAACAACAATAAGGACGAAGGACAACGAACAACGAACAACAGATGGCAAAAAGTACAAGAGCACAATTTCCTTATGCAAAGCGACGATAAGAGCCAAACCGAATGCAAATACATAGATTTATAGCCACAGAACACGATGGGCAAGAGAGAGAGAGTTTTCCGGACAATACAGTATATCCAAAGGAAAATATGTGCTCTACTCTCTCTCGATATATATATATATGTATATAGATATATATATATAGATATATCCCAAGCCCGATCCACAGCTGCCATAGCCCCAGTTCTGTGTCGTAAAAATAAAAGCTGTCAATGCACTTGAAATTTATCGCCCTGCAAATTAACACTTAAATGCAAATGGCAAAAAATGGAGACCAACAAGTAGTAACAGGAGAAACTAACTCGACAGGAAAAGTACCCTAGAAAAAATAAAAAAAAATTTATAAAGAAAATTGGGCCAAGAAAATGTTTACTAAATTAATTTTAACAACTTTAAGCAGCTAAAAGTAGGTCTCAAAATAATTATAAAATAATGTATATAGTATATACCCCTCTTATACCCTAGGAAAAAGGTACCCTCTCTCTCTCTCAAGTGGATAGTTACTTACCTTTTCGGCCTCCAGTTCCCCGGGTATCTGTGTGCCGTCCTTGGAGCAGAAGCAATAGGGCAAAGCACAGCTCTCCGTGTTACACCTTTGGGCGGTATCGGCAGGTGCTTCTGTGGCCGGGGCAGGCGCTAAAAAATAATACAAAAAATATATATAAGAAAACGGAAACAAGTTGGGAAATTATTTAAAATCTATTTCGTTATGCGAGATCCAATCCGTTTTGGGGAAGCCAAGTAACAATGCCAGGCAAATATCAAAAAGGAGGAGGAGCAGGTAAAGCAGGAGCAATGCCAATTCCAGGAACAAGTTAAAAGAAAGTTAACAACAAAAGGGGTAAAGGGGGGCGGGGTGTGGAAGAAGGGTGCAAAAGGGGGGCGATACAACAGGGAAAAACTCCGGAGGGGGAGGGGCTTGGCAGGTAAATAACCTTAAGCCAAAACCCGAGAACTCGCTTTCTCTCGGTCAAAAGCTATTTGCATATGTGGGCGTGGCCACAGAAAGTCACTTGGAAAAACAAAAAATACAAAAAATATATATTTAAGCTTTTATACATATACAAAATTATAATAATTTTATATTTATATATTTAAATGTATTTAAAAAATATTTTAAATATTAAATGTAATTAAATGTATTTTATAAATATTTTAAATATTTTATTAAATACATTTACAGATTTACTTGACTTAAATTTTTTTTTTAATTAAGTAAAGTGAAGAGATCTTTAAAAAAAAATTTAAAAATATTTATTAACTTAAATTTTAATATTATATATATATATATTTTCAAATTTTATTAAAATAAATATTTTTTTTATTAATTTTTTAATTTTATAAAAATATTTATATTTTTCTTTTAATTATATTAAAATTTTTATATTATTTTTTTTTGTTTTATAAAAAATATATCTATTTTTAAATTTTATAAAAATAATATAAAAAATAATACATTTTAAAAATTCATATATATTTAAAAAAAATTTTCAATATATATATAATTTTTTAAATTTAAACTACGTTAAAAAAATCTCAAATAATAAACAGAAAAAGTATAACTAATTTTCGTTTATTTTAATTCTTAATTTTTAAAGTTTCAGCTTCTTAAGTAAGTTCTTGTTTCAAGTAATTATTTTCTTTTAGTGTAACCGAGTTTGCCTGCCGAAATTCGATCGAATTGAATTGCTTTTTCTTTTATTTTTTTCGTTTTTTTTGTGCTCCACTGTGACGCCTCAGTCTCGATGGCAATCGAGTGGCTCGACTTGGAGTTGTTTTGCCTTGTGATCGAGTAAACAAAGTTCACAGAGAACAAAGGTGAGAAGATGGAGAAGAAGAAGTGGAGAAGCCCTTTTAACACCCACCCACCCATATCCATATCCTTGGCAAATATTAAATGCATATCCTGGACTGGCTCTTGGCCTGTGCCTGCAACTTGCACTAACTGAATTAGCACTCGCCAAAGGCGTCGATTTGATTTGATTTTGATTTGGACTAAGAGAGAGTCTGGTTCTGATTTCGATTTTGACGGCTTCCACATAAAGGAAAAGCCAAGGGGGAGAGGAGGTAATCAGCAGAAGGACTTTAAGGTTACTGTTAGCAAAGGAATTACATTTTGTATATATTTTTTTAGCTACTAATTTAACGGCTAAGCCTGTGGCTTATCTTGTTATACCTATTAACAATTAATCAATCTCTATATTAAGCCCTATATATATTTATATATATATCCAATAGTTGTCAAGTCATTTCCCTCTATTTTTTTTGTACAAATTATGTCATCGATGGCTTCTAGTTTTATTTGGTAAACATTTCCTTAATTCCCGGCGCCACATCATCAATCACAATGGAAAATGCCATTTCCATTTTCATTTCCCTTGTTTCCCCCTTCACTCTTTCTCCTCCCCTCTGATAAGCCAGTGAAAAGTGTGCTTTTTGGAGTGTGAAAGGAACTCAACTCTTGGTTGAAAAGTTTCCATTTCGATTAAGCCTTTTCGACAATGCTTAAATGGGATTTAATTACAAACAGCTTTAGTGTTATGCAAATGAAATAATATATATATATATAAAATATATTTCTAAATTAAATACAAAAAATATGAACAAGAAGTCAAGCTTAAAACAAAAATAAAATCAATGAAAATATACAGCACATATACATTTTTGTGGTCACATCGTAAATAACGGCAATGAAAATGAAATGCTTGGCAATTAATTGGCCAGGGCACAAGAGGGGGGACACAGGGGGTGGCAGCAGGACTGCAATCAACATAAATTCTCTGTGGAGAGACCGAATGTGTCCTTCTGTTGAACAAATTGTATTTATTATTTTTTATTATTTGAAAAATCCAAACAAGAAACTTGAAGAAACTCCCCAGCTCTCTGCCAGAGTTATTGAATAAAATGTAATAAACACTTTTAGTAACTTTGTCTTGTGCTATGTGCATTTTTGTCCTAACGACTGGCACACACTGCGTATACGTAATATTTGGACCATGTCACTCCTTGCTATGGTATATATATATACATATAGTTTTTGCCACAGTTGTTTTGTTTGTATGTATTGTACATATTTATTTTTATCCATGGCTATTTTCTTACTGTTGCTGCTGTTGTTGTTGCTGTTGTTGTGTAAGCAATATTGAAATGCTGTCATTGAGCGTGCTCACTGAATTATGAAATTGAAAACTATTCAGTGCAAAACATTTTTTTTTTTTTGCATTTTATCAGCTCAGCTGTAAGTGTGCGTGTGTGTGTGTGTGTGTGGAAAATCAGCTTGTGATTTCCTTGTCAAGCATTTTAACCCTTTACAAAAACCAAAAAAAAATAGGAGAAGGACTTTCTCCCACAAGGACTCTTGTCAGTACTATAAAACAATTGTTTTGAGTGAAATGTTAAAGAAATGCCTGAGATATTTTTATTTCAAGTTTCTTTTTGTTTTTTAAAAATAAAGAAAGTGTTTAACTAATTAAAGTTATCATGGAAAATAGTAAAAAAAATATTTTATAAGAGTGAAAATATTAAAAAAATTATATATATATATTTCTATATAAAAGCACGCTTTTTATAGCCTCTTTTATTTTATTAATTTTTAATAATCAAGAAAAAGTTATAAAAAATAGTAAAGAACATTTTATTTTTTTTTATATATATTTGATATATTTTTTGAAATATTTTTTATATTTTATTTATGTTTTTTTATATGTTTTCCATGTTTTTATATTTTAAAATATTTTTAATTAATATTTTTAAAATATTTTTTATTTATATATTTTTTTAAATATTTTGTATATATATTTTTTATAGTTTATTATTTTATTTTTTTTTTAATTTTTTTCATATTTTTATATTTTAAAATATTGTTTTTATATATATTTTTATATTTTGTTATAGTTTTTAATATTTATTTATATATCTTTTTTAAAATTTTTTTTAAATTTTTTTAAATTTTTAATATTTTTTAATACTTTTAATTATTTTTAAATATTTTATGATATTATGTTTTATATTTTTCAATATTTTTAAAAATTTGATTCTGCATAAATTCAGTTCTTTTTAAGACAGAAATAAATATTATATCAACATAAATTACATTAACATTAAAATATATAGATTTTTAACCAGAATAATATATATTCCGATCATTCAAAGGACAAAACCCCTTGCCAAAATAAATAAAGACTTAAATTTTCGTCAAGGAAAAAAGCATTTTAAATATTTTAATTCGTGTCTCGCCTTGGCCAAATCAAATCGAAATGAAATGAAATGAATTCGCATTTATATGCACAATGTATAGCATATATTTTCGGGACACACTCAAGTGTGTGTGTGTGCTGTGTGTGCTGTGTGTGCGTGTGTGTGTGTATGCCAACCAGTTTGTTGGTTGCTTATTTATTTTTGGGGACAAGTTGCTGTCACAATTTCAAATTCAGTTGAGACTCCGTTGCGTATACGTAGACGTTACGTATACGCAATTCGTCAGTTGAGATTTAAGGAGTGGAGCAAGGATGCTAAAGCAGAAGGAGATGGAAGTCCTTCTGCTACTGGCAGAGCTCTTAATCCTCGGCTGGCTTAGGCAGCTGCCAGATGGCTGCAAAATTAAAGTGCCAGTGACGATTATAGGCAATCAGTTAGTTTGTGCTTCACTCATTCTGATGAAATTGCTTTAAATTATATAATGAAATACATGTGCAAAATGGTCTAGGTGGGACTTAATGGATAGTCGACTTAACAGAGAGAGAGAGAGAGATAGAGATTGAGTATGCCTGAATGAGTTGGAATTTATATGAGGGATTTTGTAGGTATATATATGTGTCGGTTGTATTGTTTCCAAAACCGAAACAATTTACTGATTTAAGAATATTGTTAGTGTCTTGAACAGGTTTTAGTCTGTTAACCAGGAAAAGTGTCAAATAGCTTTGATTATCGTTATCGAATTTGATATCGTTAAGGCAGTGTGACCGCATATTATTAAAATTAGCAAGATGGCAATGCTATGAGAAGCTTTACGACAGTTTTTGGCGTAGGGCTTAGGGTTTATTTTTTAAATTATTAAATTTTAAGGTTTTCCAAATTATAATTCTTTATTTACCAATTTGTCACTAGAGATATATACATCATATGATATATTTATAAGCCTTTTTTCCACGACCCACAAATTTCCAAATAACCAAAATCGGCAACGCGTTATATTGGCTTAGCTTTTAACCATTTCCTGTGGCCCAAGCCTAGAATCTGATTCCCAAAAAAATTGTACACATATAGGGAAAAACTACATACCTATATATCTATATATATCTGTATCTGTATCTGTATCTGGTGTCAGCAGAAAAAAACAAAAAAAAAAAAAAATGTACGAAGCGGGACAAAAATTTTATGCACAGAGCTTTGACCTAATCTCTGCTGCAATATTTCTCCTCGTCCGCTCTTCGTGTGTGTGTGTGTGTGTGTGCGAAGAAAAGTAATAACATAAATGACACACACACACTGAAAAAAAATAATTAAAAAATTAAAAAAGAAACGTTTGTAAATTATTACAAAATATATTTTTAAATAAATAGGATTAATCGAAAAAAAAAATCTTAAAATTTCAAAAATTATTTAAATTAAATTTTTAAAAATTAAAAAAAAAGTACATAAATTGATGGTTTAATTTTAATAAATAAAATTTTTAAATTTATTTAAAGCATTTATTTAGCTAATTTTACAATTTGCAATGATATTTTTAAAATATTTTCCTTGATTAATTTTAAAATTTAGAAACCAGATACTACTAAAACCTAAAAAATTAAATAAAATCAGGCACTATTTGTAATTAAGGTATATTTTTATCAGTGTAAAAGAGAGAGAGAGCCAGCGCGAGGAGCTATTTATATGAGACAACATTCCAGTTGGTATTACGCAAATCCCCAAACGCTTTAGCTGTCGCAGCTTTCTTCCAAGCGGTTGCCTTCCGACCAACGACCGACGACCGACGGACCAGGATCAGCTTCCTCTGCACCCTATCCCCTTACTCCTAAGCCTTCCCCGCCCCCAACCTAAAACCCTATTCCAAAAGCTACCCAAAACTCTGCAGCTCCGACTCCAAAAAGAACCAGAACCGAAATGGCGACTACTGCAAAAGTGCGTGTTTGCCGGCGAGCGATATGTCACTCTGCATATGCCGCCTGCATGTGTGTGTGTGTGTGTGTGTGTGTGTACTTTTTTACTAACCCCCCCACCAGCACCACTGCCATATTTCCCCTAAAAAATCCACTTCCACCCTCTAAAAACCCCCCTAGTCACCAAAAATTCCACTTCTTCCCACTAAAAACTCCCCCTTTTTGGTGCATTTAATTCTAAGCTCGTTTCTGCTGCATTTTTGGCCTTTTGTCGGTTACACTGGGCAAAATTAATGTACTTTTAAGGAATATTTCAAATTAAATTAAAAAATTAATTTCTTTCTCTAAATTATTTTAATTTAAATAAATTCAAATAATTATTTTAATTGAAATCTAAATTATAAAATAAATTTAAATAATTTAGTAAAATTTTTTATATTTAATATCCTTTGTTTTATTTAGTTTTGCTTTAATCTTAAGTTATTTATTATTATTTTATTTATTTAAATTATTTTATATTATTTATTGATTATTTAAATAAATAAAATATAAAAAAATTTATAAAAATTTAATATATTTAATAATATTATATATATCAATTTTTTTTATATGTATATAATTTTTTTTTATATTTTATAACTTTTTTTATATTTTATAATTTTTTTTTTATTTATATATATATTTTTTTATATCTATATAATTTTTATATATATCTTTATTATATTTATTTATTCAAGTCAAGTGTATGCAAAAAAAAATTTTTACTAAAAGTGAAAAAATCTATAAAAACGACCCCCATTTTTGGAACTGCCCCACAAAGTCAAGGCAAAAGTCCCACAGTAAGGGGAGAGGCTAAGAAGAAGCCGTTAAAACTGAAAACTAAATCGTAAACGTGGGCTTTAATGGCCCACACACATATTCAACAGGGGAGGCTAAATAAATAAAACCAAAAATATAAAAAAATCTAAAATTTAGAAAGATTTTTAATTAATTGAAAAATGAAATAAAAACTAAATCAAGCTTAAAGCTTTCGAAATAGAGGAATAATTGAGAGATTACTTGAAATTAAATTTAAAAATATATTTTTTTGGCTCCTATTCTTGTGCCCTTAGCTGTAACTTTGAAGGAAGATCGAAAGATAGTCTTGGTTATTCTTAAGCGGTCGCGTTTGTGCCCCATTTGAAGTGCACTCAATGCCCCCGGCTTCCAGGTCCTTCTCAAGCACTTGGCATTCATCTTGCCACTGGCCACGCCCCCTTCCTGCCCAGAAAAGGTGGCCCTTTGTCGTTAGGCAAGTCAATAGAGCGGACAATGTTTGGAATTGTGGGAATCCCCCCTTTTGGGAGGGAAGTATGTACGAGTATATGGCCACCATTTGCTCATTGCTTTTGTTATTGCTTTGGATTTTGAATTCGAATTCGATTTTTGGTTTAGTGCACACACACACACATTAGGATTATGAGGGGGATTTTGCAACCATAAATGAATTATGCGACATTTACTCAAAATTGCTTCCTAATGCCCAACATCCGGTAGAGACAAATGTCCTGGGTGGAAGGACTATGGCAGGAAGTGCACAGAAAAATGTTGATAATGTATTTATATTAATTATAAGTTTGAGTTTTTTATATATATTATTTATATAGTTTTTTCTCTTTAAAAACTGTCTTAAAAATTCTTGAAAAAAAAAAAAAACTATTTAAAATTATACGGATTTATGTTATGATGTATATTTTTCCTAAAAGAAAAATTTGTTTTTATACTTATAAATTATTATTTTTTATTTTAATAAATTATTTTTGTAAGCAAACCTTTTAAAAATAGTCATTTATACTCCTATATTCCTTTTCCTTAAACAAAAAAACAATATTTAAATACATAAATACCCTGAAAAGTTTTGATTTAGTTTTTTCCTAACAGAAAAATCTATTTAAAATTCCTAATAAATTGTGTGTGACCTGTGGCCTTTAGCCTCCCCCGGCTATTGTTTCGGCTCAAAGTTCGCATTTCTATATATCCAGTTTTTCGGGGGGTTTTTAGTGTCTTTTGCCGCAAACTTGGAAACGTTTTGCAGTCCCAGACAGATGATGATGATGATGATGATGATGGGGAGGAAAAAGAAAGGTAGGGAGGGGGAAAGGAAAAGCAGGAAAAAAAAAGAAAACCTGAACCACACACTTAGAGTGCACTTAAAGTTTTTCACTCCATTTTCTTTGTTCGCTCTTCCTGATTTATGTTGCACTTTCAATTGGTAGCTGGGAATAGGAGCTAGAAAATTTCGAGTCCTTCTTTCCTAATCACTTACTTGTTGGCAAAGGACCGCACTTGGCCTCATCCTTGAAGGTGCAGAACTTCTGAACATCATCGAAGAACAGTCCCGAGGGACAGCGGTTCAAATAGGGATAACCATCAACGCACTAAAGGGAGGGGAAAGGTTAATGTAGTCATAAGTCGCACAGATCTAGATGAGGGGGTCAATTAACTCACCTGGTAAAAGCGACGACAGGTGGCCGGATCAGCATAGTTGCCATTGGCTATGTGTGAGGGGCACTGGAACTCCTCCTTCTCTTTGCCTTGACCTAGGAATAAAAATGTAATATATTTTTAAAGGAATTTTTTACATATATTTTAAAACAATATTTCGTGAAATTTTTACAAAACGGAAGTAAAGAATTTAAATGGATTTTAAAGTAAATGTAAGAGCTTATGACAAATTTTTATTAATTTTTTTTAAATTAAAAACTAATTTTTATTCATTTTTTAAAATTAAAAACTAATTTTTATTAAATTTTTTTAATTAAAAGCAAATTTTTATATATTTTTTTTAATTAAAAACAAATTTTATTAATTTGTTTGTTAATTAAAAACTCATTTTTATTATTTTTTTAAATTGCAAACAAATTTAAAAAATTTTTTTAATTATAAAACTATGTTTTAAATTTTTTTAAATTGAAAACAAATTTTTATTAATTTTTTAAAATTAAAAACAATTTTTTATGAATTTTTTGAATTAAAAAGATTTTTTTTATTCAACAAATTATTTTTTTTTTATTTAGAAAAATTTTTAAAATTTATTGCCTTAGGGAAATTAATAAATATGCATTTTTTTAAAAGGAAATTTAAGTAAATTGTTCTTTAAAATAACTCGCAGAAACTTGCTTCCTTTTTTTAGATTTTAATTTAAGCCCTGAACTAAGCCCTAATTTAAAAAAATTTTAATTATAATTATTTATAAGTATTCACTTAAAATACCACGATTTTATTTATTTATAATTTATTTTTGCCTTGACTTCAGGGGAATTTTTAAATATCCGGCAATTAATTGCATAATACACACAATATTGCTTGTAAGCCATCAGATTTAAATGTTTTTATGTATATATACAAGGGAATAAATACAAATTATAATCGCTTAATGTATATTTATGATGATGCATGTACTTTTTCCGAACCGTTTTTCCCTTTCAACCCTTTTTTTATAAGCCAAATCTAAGCTTTGGCGGCTTGACATTTACAAAAAAAGCGAATAAAACCCATAAATAAATAAATAACAGATAAGTTATAATTAAATGTCGATTTACATTTGATCACCCAATGAAAAAACGTGAAAATTCAGCGAATTAAATACGAAAAAAAAGTAGTAAAACGCAATTAATGGAAATATTTGAAAATTCATACTTCAAACTTGCCACTTCTGTGGCTTAGGACGACGACTAGTTGCAACTATAATGAATATAAATTGACTAACAGCATTAGATTAACCGAAAAACCGTAAACCAAATAGCAAAACAGCAAAACAGTTTCCCCTGGAAATGAGGGGGAAAATCGATGAGATATTGCGGCGATTATAATTACGCGAATCGCGCGCGGCGCTCTCTTCCAAAAATTATTCATAAACGCGGCGGCGACACACATCACATTCATTTTTCGGGACGGGGGCTAAATGTTAATTAAATGAAAACTATAATGGGACGCAATTGCATTATATATGTGCCCCCCCCCCCACTCGATATTATAATTATTATAATAATTATTTGTCAGTTTTTATGATTTCTCATTGTTGCCGTGTGGCATGCAATTAATTGATAGCTTAGACCAAAAATCCAAAATTCAAAATCTAAAATATATTTATGCCGAAAGGGGAGATGCGGGAGATTATTGGCTAGGCCGGAAAAATGCACAAATACAATAATATTTCCTTGGTATTTGACTTTAAAATTGAAATGTTCAAAATATTCATAGATTTTCTTGCTTCATTAAAATTCATGAAATGCCAGGCGGATTGAGATACAGATACAAAGATGCAATTCAGTGTCTTGAGCAGCATTTTTGCACTTCATTTCATTTGGATATATAGATTTAGATATTTATACATGTATATTTGTGCATTTTATGGGAATTTCACAGTATAGGTTTTGATATTTGAATGAATGAATGAATGAACACATCTTGAAGATGTTGGGTAAATTTTGTTTTAAGCTTAAAGTGAAAGGAGTAACAAATACATATTGAAATTTTTGTAATGTTTTTATAACAAAGTGGAACATCTGCCCTTTGGGTGGGGCATGAAAAGTGCACCTATTTTGTTTAGGTTTTTCCGAGTTATTTTTTCCCTTGGGTAGCAGTTTTTTGTATATTTTTTATTATTTGTTTTAATTTTATAGTAATTATTATTATTTCATATTATTTAATTTTATTTTTTATTGTTATTATTTTTATTATTATTTTTTATATTATTAATTATTATTATTATTTTTTGTATTATTTATTATTACTTATAATTTATTATCAATTTTTATGATTTATTATTACGTATTATTAATTATTATTTATTATTTCGAATTATTAATTATTATTATTATTATTTTTATATTTATTATTTAATATATAAACATTTTTTTAAGATTTTTTTATATGTATATATTTTTTAGATTATTTGTTTTATATGTTTTTTAAGATTATTTTTTATATATTTTTTTTAATATATTTATTATTATTAATTCATATTATTTTTTATATTTATTTTTTTATGTAAAATTTATTATTACTTACAATTTATTATTATTATATTGTCATTATGTCATATGTATAATTACGTAATTTTAATTATTATTATTTTTATTTATTTATTTATTTTTTATTTTTAATAAAGCCCTCTTTGGTTCACTTAAATTTTTGGTCAAACAGAAAACCAAAAAGGCTTTATTTTGCCACAGTTTAAAATGTGTCGGAAAAATGTTGCTTTGGTCAATTTATGGTTATTTATATATACACTCTATATATACATACATATACATATATATATATACAATATATAACCATATAAATCTATTTATGGCCATGTGTATATTTATAGTATAATGGCAACAAACAATGACCACAATGCGGCGAAAGAGCAACAAAAATATCAGTTAATTTAAATATAAGCTGGAGTGTGTGTAAAATAAACAAAAAAACAACAAAGTACAACAACAACCGAAATTAAATCAAAATGAGTAAAAAAAAAAGAGGAAAAGAATTTATTAGAGAGCGAAGGAGGTAAACCTTTTTCCATATAATTATTATGGCTAATTAATATTTATTAACCAACCAGCTCACATCCTCACAATGCCCATAAAACTGGCGCCCGAGTGGCACGAGGCAAGAAGTCCTTTGGCTAATGAGGCGATGTCCTCTAAGCGGCTTAAGGCCCCCAACCCTCTCTGCTTTGCCTTTACCCCTCTTTTCCTTGTTCATTGACACCCAAGGCGCCTCCTTAAATGGGCAGGAACAACTCAAGACGCAGTCTGAGTCTGTTTCTAGGGAGCTACTTCTAGATTTCCTAGCTTCTAGCTAAGAAAATAAAATATATATGTTTGAATTGTTTACTTAAAATAAATATTTAAATATTTAAAATTTGGTTTAGTATTTATCTATTTTACAGTTTTTTTTAAATAAATCACTTTTATATTTTTTGAAAAAATTAAGGATTTTAAGCAAGTCTATAAATTTTTTAATATTTATATAATATATGTATATGTTATATTTATTTATTGTATATCTTTAATTTATTTTTTATTTTTGTTTAATTTATTTTATATTTATTTTATATTTTTAATTTATTTTATATTTTTAATTTATTTTATATTTTTAATTTATTTTATATTTTTAATTTATTTTATATTTTTAATTTATTATATATTTTTAATTTATTTTATATTTTTAATTTTTTTTTATTATTTTTTATGCTTATATTTTATATATTTATATTTTTAATTTTTTTATTTTTGTTTAATTTTTTTTATATTTTTAATTTGCTTTATGTTTTTAATTTATTTTATATTTTTCCGAAAACTGTAAAATTTTTTGTATAATTTGTTTTTACGCACATTTCACAGCTGAAATACTGTTAAGAAAATTATTCTTGAACTTTTTAAAGGCAATTCTCATTCGCAAGGCTCCTTCTTTCAATTTTACAAAATGGATTGACATCCATTCACCTTTTTCTCTGCCGCGACGATTGTAAAAAAGAAGCAAAAGTAATAATAATAATAAATTTATCGTACATTTATTTAAAAGTCACAAGGCCAATTACATGGAAAACGTTCTTTTTGTTTTCTTTTCTTTTTTTTTTTTGCCCTTAATTAAGAAATTGCCAATGCGGAAAATAATAATTAAAAATAAGCCCAGAACCGTAGCGTTCAAAAAGGATTCATTTCCTTCTCCCTCGCGCCACGCTCGGCACAAAAAAAATTAAATGTGCCCGAGAAAATAAATAAAATTGAAGAACAAACGAGAATGAAATCTATCTTTAGGTAGCCGAAGCTTGAATACCCTTGGATTTTGTTACCAAAATTGAAACCACTAATAAAAAGTTGAAACAAATTGTAATTGTATTTGCATATTACATTTTATAATTAAAAAAAATATATATATAATATATATATAATTTTTGTTATTTTTTGGTAATTCTGAAATTTTAATTTTTAGATGCCAAGCTAGATTGATTCGCCTATTGATGCTATTCAAGAATATATACGATTTCCATTTCCCACTAACTTCTGACTAAAATTATAATACCCTCTTAGGGTATAAAAAGGAAAACTGTACAGAAAAACTGGCAAAGAAACCTCGGCGCAGGGCTGAAAAATCTTTATTTTATGCACAACATACAATAATTTTTACGTTTTTTATTTTATTTATTTATATATATATATTTATACATTTTTTTCGCTGCTTTCCCCGGGCATTTTCACCCTTTGCCTGAGCTCATAATTTATTTAAAATCGAATAGTTTTTAAATTTAATTCAATTTTTAAGGGCAGGCTAATTATGCTTTTAAGTCTTTGTTCGTTTCAATTAAAACAAGCACTTTGGCCTCCATTTTTTATATATTTTAGGTCAAAGATGTTTGTCCATCTGCTTTTCACATTATATGATGTGCATTTTGTTGACTTTTCTTTGCCTTTGCTACCCATAATTTGTTTACATTTTCTTCCTTTTAATGTTGCTATTTAATTTTATCGAAGCAAAAAAATGCAGAAAGGGAATAAGTGTTTAAATAAATATTCAGTTGGAAAAACAATCAAATTAAACACAGTAAATTATACAAGATTTATGTATGAATATTAACTGCGAGGGGAGGGAGAATAGTTCTAGATATTTTTTTTAATATTTTATATATGTATAAATATATATATATTTTTAAAGAGTTTAATAATATTTTTAAATAAAAAAAATATTAAAAAAAAATTGTTTGAATAGTTGTCTAAATAATATTTTATAAAAAGTAAGTAATAATTAAATTGAAGATATATTTATGAATATTAACTGTGAAAGGAGGGAGACCAGTTCTTGTTTTTATTTTTTTTAATATTTTATATATGTATAAATATTTTTTTAAAAAGTGTTTAATAATATTTTAATATTAAAAAATATTAAAAAATATGATTTAAATAGTTGTCTATTGTAATTTTCTTTAAAATGTCTAAATTATAATTTAATTTCTTTTTTAATCAACTTAAACATGTTAATTAACAAATAATTGAATAACAATAATTGCTAGATCCATTTGAGAATTTTAAGAAAGAGCCACTGGTTTTTCCCCTGTGACACACTTTCATTGAATTCCATCTCTGCAGATGTTTATGTGGACAGATATATGGTATATATACATATATTCACTTAAAACATTTCGCATTCAGCTTCGCCACGTCCCTGTGTATTTTTTTTTTTTTCACTTTTGTTGTTGTTTATCCGCTGGCATTTTCAAGTAATTTTTCACGCATTTCTGTGGCTGCTTTGCGCCTCATTTTTCACGCCAGTCCATGTGTCTATCTGTGTATCTGTGTGTGTGTGTTAAGCTGCTTAAATGTTGTCTTTTTTTTTTTTTGTTTTTGTGTCCTTGCTTCCTTTTGCAACATTCGGCACACTGTTTTTTTCCAACTGTATGCCGCTTTTCTGCATTTACAACACTTAAATTGTAAATAATGCCGAGCCAGAGCGGTACGAGTGTGTAATGGCCAAAGCCACTTGCCTTTGTCAACAGCAAATTTGCGTTTAAATGCAGGCTCATGTGCCTTCTCCCATTCCCAGCATCCCTTTTTAATGTATTTTTAAATTATGTTGATTTCGTTTTCTTTAAGTGAGCGGAAACACAGCACAGAAAATAAAAGTAAACTACAAAAACCCACTCCTTGCTGAGCACAATCTCTTTTTTTTTATATATATTTTTTTTATTTTCTCTGTCTGAGCTGGGGGAAAGAGACTTAAGCGAGCGGGAAAGATAAATTCCTCTTTCTCTTAATTGGCTTTTCCTTGGGTGTAATCAGATTTGGCCTTTTTCACTTCATTAGAGCGGCATTTATCAACACTGATTTAATTTAAGCAACACTAGAGGCTTAGTTGAAGGAAGAAAATTAAAAATTTTACGGCATTTATCAACACTGAATTCATTTTAATAATACTTGAGGAATAATTTGAGTAGAAAACACGTTTTTCAACCCTTTTTTATGGTTTATAAAAATTGTAAATAAAAATTTAATTGATTTTAAAAAGTAAAAAAAAATAAATTATTCAGTAAAATGTGATATAATGTTAAATATTTCACTTTACCAACACTGGTTTAAGTTAAGCCACATTAGAGAAGTATAAAGAAAAGTAAAAGCACCTTTCTAGGCCCTTTTTATGTCCCAAATAAACTAATTAACCTTTAAAAGTAAAGGTTTTTTATACAAATTATTTAATTTCCGCCACTAAATATTTATTTATTAACAAATAATTCACTATTTAAATGAATCAATAAAAGTAATCATTAAAATGCATTTTATATAAGCGACTCTACTTCAATTTTAAATTGCCATATCACCCACACAAAACAGAAAATCTGTGGAAAATCATTGGAAAAACTCATGGGTTTATGAATTACTCAAATAAAACGTAAAAGTAAATACCTTTCCATTTATAAAAATTTCGTTCATATTCAAATAACTAAATAAAAGCATTTTCCACGCACATAAACACCATATTGAAACCACTTTCATTAGGTTGTAAAATCTTTCTTTTCAAAGGATTCTCCCGCAAATAACAAAAACAGGCCAGACAGAAGTCCGTTAATATGTGTTTTTCCAACTTTTGTGCAATCGCCATTTCTCGCTGATGAAATGAAAGTACTTTTTATATTGTTTTCCTTGTTTTTTGTTTATTTTTTGTTGTGTTTTAGTTAAGCTTTTTGGCAGATTTTTCATCACACAACCGAAAGCAATTATGCAACGCGAATAAAACAAAAAAACGGAAAAAGTAAAATCAATGTCACAATCAAGTTGCATAAATGAAGCTCAGGCAGCAGCATCTGCTCGCTGCAAGCTTTTAAAAAATATAAAAAAATAAATATATGTATAAAAGCGGGGGGTATTATCGATCCCGTTGTTACGGTTACAATATATATGTATACATTTTCACATTTAAGTTTTTAACTCTTGCGTTTACATAATTGCCAGCTAAACAAGTTTCTCGGCACAAAAGAAAGTGAAATCGAAAGAAGAAATTTTTACAAATGATCGTGATGCTGCGATAATCACCGTTACAAGGCTACAAACAAAAAAAGAGCCTAAGATAACACCAAAGTGTACAAATAACAGTGAGTTATATATATATACGCATAATGATAGCAACAGTGCTGACCATGAAATCTATGCAGAAAAGACTAGCCCGAGATTTGCATATTCATGAAGTTCATCTTGTTGATATTTCCGATATGTGAGCCTACACTTGGGGAAAAAGTGTGAGCTTTAAAGAGGGTAAACTGAATTTGTATATAAGAAAACAAATTTTTAATTTTAATTTAAGTTAAAATTTAAGTTAGAAAAATTATATTTAAAAAATTTTAAGAATAGATTTTTTTTATATATTTATTTTTTCAACATTGAAGTGTTTACTAAGTGACTTTTTTATATATTTAAATTGTAATTAATAATATTTATCTATATGATGGTGTTTTAGTGATTTTTTATTTATGAGGAAAAGTTAAAAAATAAATATATATATTTTTTTTTATAATGCATAAAAATTTTTGTTAATTACATTATTTTTAAATTAATTTTTTAAATTACTTTTTTTTTAAATTAAATAGTTTTTAATTAATTTTTTTTTAATGAAATGTTTTTAATTACATTATTTTTAAATTATTATTTTTTAATCAAATTTTTTTTAACTAAATTTTTTTTAATTTGAAATTTAATAAATAAATATAATTAAAATAACAAAAAAATAAATAAATACAAATAATATAAATTTCTTTTGAATAATAACTTTTGTAAGTCCTTTTAACATAGATGAAAACTTAAAGTAATGAATATTATTTTTGATATTAAAGCCCTCTCTTGATAAATGACAAGTACAAAAATAATTTTAAAAATAATTTCATAATTTAAAAATATTTAATTAAATATAAAAACAAAGGCTTTCTTCTTCGATCTTTTCTATTTAAATATGTCAAGCCTTTCTTTCAGTGTATGTAAATGCCTGGCTGGCTTTTAGACTTTCCGGCTAAAATCCGCTAATTAGCATGAGCGACTAACCAAGCGAGCAAAAGCTGCAAAAGTTGCCGCTAATCAAGTTGGAGGTCAGTTTCTTCGCCATCGAACGGCGTCTGTCATTTTTGTGTTTTTTTTTTTTGGCTGTCAGTTAAAGAGGCGGACTTTTTGTCGTTACGCAACTTTTTGGGGGAGAGTGAGGAACTGGACAGCTGGACAGCGGGACAACCAGTTTTCCGCCATAATATCCAGCATTTTATATTGGTTGGGCCAGGACAGCTGCTGACCTTGCGGTATAGGGAAAAACCAGTTGAGAGGAAAACCGCTGCCAATGGTTACCTAATTCGTACAGGAAACAGCGGGACAACCTGCTAGTTCCCAGTTTTAAGCAGACATTATATTTAAGTTTTTCAGTTTTTTTTTTAAATTTTTTCTTTAATTTTCTCTTTAGTTTTCATTTCTCAAAACAAAACAGACACTCAGGAAGAGATGCTCCAACTCTTTGATTTCTTTCACTCACTCAAAACAACACAGTAACAAAAATACAACAAAAAATAAATAGTATATATTTATATATATATGTGCAAGGGGAATGCGGAACTGTTATACACATATATCTATATTATATATATGCCATATAATATATATAATTTTATATATATTTTCCTTGGTCGTTGTTGAACTCTAAACTTACCATTAACACCAGCTATAGCCAGTAGCAGGCCCAGCACCAGACACGGCCGGAACATCTTAAAGCTTCTCTGGATCGAAATCTATATTTACTATATAAATATATATATTTATATTTATCCCGAGAGAGACGACGGGAAGAGAGAGACAGAGAGAGAGGGAGATCGATCGGCGAGTGAGAGCGAGACGTCCGCAACGCGCAAATGCAAACCGCCAACTGATCGAAGCCACTGGCCAAGAAATTGCAAGAAGCCAACACCACAAGCCACTCAACCACAAAAGAAATATATATATATAAGCCACTCCAATCGATTGTGGCTCAGAGCACAGAGCTGGGAATAAAGCCACTCAAAATCTATGAGAGAAAAACTAATGAAGGCGAAAGTGGTGTCGAGTATATGGGTCGGTTAGGACTATAAGCAGTTGGGAATTATAAGACAACTGTTGGGAAATATTTAATTATTAAATTTTTTATAAATATAAATATAAAATAGAGCTAAAGTAGAGGTTTTTAAATTGAAACTAAAATCACGTTATAATTTAGTTTACTAAAGCCAGTTGGGAATTATAAAGATAAGTTTAGGAATAAAATAATTTGTAACTAAAAAAAGTTAAGGTAGAGATTTTTGGCCTACTATTTTATAAGTTAAATAAACTTATTTACATAAACATAAGTCACAGAAACCCTAACCATAACCAGTTGAGAATTATAAGAAAAATCAAAGAAAATTAAGAATATTTTCAGTTTTTATTATTTTGATTATTAAATGTTTATAAAAAAAATATTTTTATATTAGTTATTAACAATTTAAAATATATTATTTAGCATTCCACCCAGAGACTCCTCTCCAATGATCTCGTATTCTCCATTGTGTTACCGCGCTCAGTCTCAATTTCGGATTCACTTTCATTTGAACCAGTTGCGCCCATATATCTATATATATATATATATTTATATATATTCGAGTTGATTCGAGTTGATTCGAGTCGAGTGAATTGATGGCGAAGCCGGTTTCTGGTGGAGAGCAGGAGAGAGGTCTCTGCGCATGCGTGCGCATTTCAATGAGCCCGCGGCTAAAATAATAGTTATGTCTCTGTGACGGCGGCGGCTCTGTGGGTTCGTTCGAATCGGAATTATGCATATTGGCCAGTTCATTATGCTGACTTGGGGATCATCCCCATCCATATGCATGACGACGGCCTCCCTTTTCCCCCGCCCCCCCTTCCACGGTATTAATTTGCCTATCATCGGTCCCAAATCAGTCGTTGGACGAGTTCTTGGCCGGCACTCTTAGCCGCCTGAGTCGGCATACTAATGAGATGCTAATCGCAGATTACAGTTATCAGATGGTAGAGCCCCGCCCCGGAAAATAATAAAAATCAAGTCGTAAGGGAGAAAGAGAGGGAAGGGAGGGGAAGGGAAGATTTTGTATATATAAACCTTAGGTACACCCACAACGAGGCATTGTTGCATCATTAAATTCGAGAATGCACACACACAGCAAAAAAAAGGGGAGTTTTTGAGGGATATTTAAAGTAAAAAACAAAAAATTGAATTTAAATTTGTAATCAGAAAATATTAAAAGGAGTTTTAAAATCCATAGAAAGTATTTTTGAAAGTAGGAAATAAAATATTATTATTTTTTTCTATAAAATATTAACAATTGTAGATTTTTGAAGGGTAAATGAGAGCTTAATATGATAAAAAATAGGTTGAAAATTGTTTTATAAATCATTTTGTTAAATATATATTTATTTTTGTATTTTAAAAATTGTAAATGGGTGTTAAAAACTCTTTAAAATATTTCTAAAATTTGTTAATATAATATTACTTGCTACTGAATCGTGTATCTTTTGTTAAAATAATTATATATAAAATATAACAATATGTAAATATTATTTTAAAGGAAATTTAATTTAAAAATGGTAAAAGATAAGCTTGAAATTCTTCAAATTCTTAATTTTCTTTTTATTTATTTATTTTTAATTTATTTTTTGTTTATTTATTTATTTTTATTTATTTATTTTTTTCTTTTGTCCTATTTATTAATTTTTTATTTAATAATTTTTTATTTATTTATTTTTTATATATATATTTTTTTATTTATATTTTTATTTATTTTTATTTATTTTTTTATTTATTTATTTTTTTTTTTTTATATACAATTTATAAAACTTTTTTGAAAATTTGATGTATGTTTCTATTAATCACCCAACACTTTTTCATTCCAGTGTAAATTAACTTTATTGGCTTCGTCGAGAGTGCTGAGTGTTCGAGTGAAGGGCAATTGTCTCGTTCTGATTCTTGATTCTTGATAATAAATTTCTGTGAAATACAAAACCAGGTGAGTTGAGCTCTACAAATATTAAACTTTGGCTTTAAAATAAGCAATATATTTTAGTATTTAATAATTAATTAAATGTTAAGACAAAAGTAAAAGTTAAATGCAGCAATTTAATGGATATTTAAACTCAAACCCCTAAAGACAAACTTAAATAAAATAGAACGAAACAAATGAAAGCCATAAAAAAACTGGTCCTTCAAATGCAGATTTATATATATATCTATACATATATTTACTAGATATATCTGTATATAGTCTGGTTTGTGTTTGCTAGAAATGTCAATAAATGAATTAATTTCGGTTTTCAGCTTTTCAGCTGTTGTCTCATGGCATTTGTATACGATTTTATTTCGCATTTTTCTGCTGCTCAAAGCCCCGGCATGTGAATGACAATAAACATTGGTTTTTCATTTAAAAAAATCGTTGAAGATTATGTCAAAATGAATAAATATGATAGAATATGAAAATATATCTATTGTATGTATATTTTTGGGTTAGAAAACGGGGAAAGTGTGTGTGTGGATAAACGAGATTACATCTTTAATAGGTTAACTATAGTAGTTTTTGTGTTTCTCTCAATTTTGTTGCTCGAATTATTCGTGAATGGTAAATGAATACACTCGTGGTGAATTTCCATTTCGTTTCGCCAGAATTATGTGCATTTTTCGTTGGCTTCCAAAAACTATTTCCACAAAAAGAAATACGAAATGAGTGAGTGAGTGGGTTTCTCTCTAGCTCCCACACACTCAGACATTTTTTGGAATTCTTTTTTTGAATATTCATTCACACGAACAGTGCGTTTCGGGAGTATAGGGAATTTTATTTATTTTATTTTAATTTATTTTAATTTTTAATAGTATTTAAGAAAGATTATAAATAGGTTAAATTTGTAAAGATTTTAAGGAAATAAATAAATATTATTTATATGTTTATTTACTGTTTTATATTAATATTTTCTAAAATATATTAGAAAAAATATATATTTATATAGATTACATTTTTTTTAAATTTCAATACAAAATAAATTTATACCATAACTATTTCCCATACTAAAATCCTTTTTTCCATCATTTTATTTGTTAAAAAATGTTGCCTTACAATTTCGTTACACACTGTATACTGTGCGTATGGGCAACGAGAAATTTTTGGCCATTTAAACCAATAAATATGTAAATTTTTCATAAATTTAATTAAATTCACTCACAAAGGGCTGCTGCGTCGCCGCTAACTGCAGCGAAAGTTGTGGGACCCGCCCCCATTACGCCCCCCTTTTGCAACTCCTTAGCCAGAGGAGGAGGAGGAGGAGGAGGAGGAGGGAACTCTAGTAGTTGTGGAAAGGAGAAGAAATGCAAAAGTATTTTTTGCAGAGATCCATGGCTGAGTTGTTTCAGTGAATGAGCGAGAATAAAAGTTGGCAAATGTATGCAAATATCTATCGCAGGCGTTGAGTTGAGCGGGTGTGGGGGAGTTCCGGGTTCCGAGGCTCGAGTCTGCAGGTGCCAGATGCCTGACGGACGGATAAACGGACGGACTAGAGGGGCTCCAAAAGGAGAATGAGTGACAGAATGAATGCTTTCTGCATGCCTGCACTGGAAAGAAATTTTGATGGTCTTATTCTTAATAATAAGAAGTTTATAAATACTCAATTTGAAAGAAGTCATTTAAAATATATAATAATTAAAAAAAATATATATTAAAATGTAAATATTAAAAATATATATTTAAAATGGTTTATATATAAAATTTGAATGAAGTCATTTAAAATATATAATAATTAAAAAAATATATATTTAAAGTTAAATATTAAAAATATATATTTAAAATTGTTTATATATAAAATCAGTTAACTAAAAATATACAAATCAAAATCTAATATTTTATATAAATATATATTAAGAAAGAATTAATATAAAAAAATATTTTTTTTATTATTTTATTTGCTTAAAACACTTTTAAGCTGAATTATTAAATCTTTAAAAATTTTAATATAATAATTTTAATTTTAATTAATATAATTTTACTTTAATACTATTAAAAAACAAAAACATCCAGAAAGGAACATATGTAATACAAAAATTAAGACACACTAAGGGTTAATTATGCATACATCATGGTCACACTGTACCTTTTCGTTCGGTGTTCTCTTTTGCAAGCCTGAGGAAAAAGTTCCAAAACTTGTTGTTTTTTTTATTATTATTTTTGAAAGAATGGTAGATTTTCTGACGATGCCGATGATAAATGAGAATTGTCAGAGAATTTAACGATTTTGACTGACAAAGAAGCTGGAAGGAAGGAACGGCACAAGTTCCATAGTTTTGTTTATGCGATGAAAATGCAAGTGAGGAGACACGGACATGGAAATTACAAACCGACTGAAAGGACAAACGCATGGCTGCGCAGGACCACGCAGACGGGGAGGTCCCGGAGGTCACGTGAAAATGGCCGGGACATATTCCATTAGCACTTAGTCAATTTTCCAGCGATTTTGGCCCTTTGTTTGAAATAAGTTTTTCGTTTAAAAGGGGAATTATTTAATTTTATTATTATGCATATTTCTTTAGTAAGCTCGCTCGCCTTTGTCCATAGTTCATCTTCAGTTTCTCTCCATTGTGATTCAAATTATTAGAAAAGAAAATATATATTCAATTTTCTTTTGGAATGTTTATTATTTCCACTTTAAAATTTAATTTTTTCCATATCAAAAAACACAAATATATCAAAGATTTTATTTGATTATGAAAAAACCTCTTAGCCAAATCAAAATTAATAAAAATCTCCATTTGCCGAAAATCAAAAATTGAAATGCAATCATCTAAAAAGGGGAACAAGTAGCGTGCACCCATCAATGCGCGCCGCCAT